GTAAATGGACAGCTGACTCAAGGCATGCAGTAAGTTAAGTTCTCATGTAGGTAGGGCTTGTCTGTTTTTGTGAATAAACACTGGGTACCTTGATTGGTCTTACAAAGTACCCACCCTTTTAAACTTTAGTAGTATTCTTTGTAATACTACATACTTCTGAGGTGAAAGCTATAATCCTGTTGAAAGTTTGATCTGCAAGTTTTTTCTATTAGATCTTTTCACAATTTTTTTTGTAATGTTACGATATTTTTTGTAAAGTTACGAATGTGGTGGTTGATAATTTTACGATTCATGTTTGTCAAGATACGAAATGAAAAACAGTATTGGATTACGGTAACTTTCCGTAAAGTTATGACTGTAGGGTTTCGTAACACAACGGTCCACTTTGTAATTTTGTTTTACATAAAAATATCGTAACTTTACAGAAAAATTTTTCACAGTGACATAGTCTATTTAAAATTTGAAATTTTTGATGTCAATTTTTGAATACTTTGTGGCAGTCTTTAGATTTGGCTAGAGCTGAAGATGCAGAGTAACAGAATCGTCTGTAATCCTAGAGCTGGTTTAAATATATCCGTATATTCATGATGAATAGATATTCCAAAGACCTTTTATGAATTGAAATAAAGGGTGTGATATTGTTATGAAGTGAGCTTTGTTTGTAATCGACAATCGTTGCAAACGCTGAGTACTGCAGCAGACGACTCCGTCGTCTGCTGACGCGCCGCCCCCCACCACGCAGAGCCCACGGCACGGCCTGCGTGAGCGCGACCGCCTCCGCGAGGTGCCGCGCCCTAGCGGCGGGCACCCGCACCACGCTACCCCCTCCACCGCCAGGACCCTGGCGGGAGGCTCGAGCGGGCGCGGCGCGGCCCGCGCAGCGCCCGGACGGACACTTCTGTTTGGGACGAGCTTGGAGAAGGACGTGCTCGCTCTCAGACTCTTACCGCGCTACCGTTGTTGCTACCGTTGTTGCTACCGCGCCGCGCTACCGTGATCACCCTGACTGACTACCTTGTAACAAGGACCTAATAAACACTTGTGCCGAAACTCAGCCTTTCCTTTAACCACACCTGCCTCCTAGTGCAACCGCGAGCCCCTGGCCCGGTTCACAACACTGGTGGCAGCGGTTAAAGTGGAGAGGAGGAGGAGGAGGAGGAGTGGGCTGAGTTGAGGTTTCTCGCTCGAGCCGCACCGCACAAGCCAGGTTACTGGCTGAACCAATAAAGAATAGATAGGCGAGGCCCCTTCCCTTTCTGTTTCTTTTACAGGGTTCGTGCCATCCGCGAGCCTCCTCGTTGATTTGGTTTTCAGGTTCAGGTGTCGCAGTCAGTGTGAACGTGAAGTGTTCAGTGAAAGTGTAGTGTTTTGTGAAGTGTTTTGTGAAAGTGAAGTGTTTGTGTTTTTGTGTGTTCTTTTGTGTCTTGTGTTTGTGTCGTTGAGTAAGCTTGAGGGTCAGGATGGTGCGCAAGCAGCGTCCTGCCGCGCCGCGCCCCCCGCGGAGCGCTACGCCCGCCGACGAACCGGAGGAACGCGGTGCTGCTGAGCACGCGCCCCCACCGAGTGCGGCTCCCCAACGCCGACGGTCCGAGAGGCTCTCTCTACCGACCGCGGCCGGGGACGCTACGTCCTCGTCGGCCGGGGCGCAGCAGCTGCGCCCTGGGCAAGCCGGTGACCCGGGCGCCTCGACCTCGAGGGCACCCGTGAGCCAGGCCGAGGCGGGCAGCAAGGCGCGAGCCGCTGAGAGCCGCAGGACTGCCACAGCAGAGTGTGGCGGGCCAGCGAGCGTCGGCACCCGCCGCGTTACCCGCCATAGCGTCCGCGCTGAACAAGCTAGTGATAGGGCAAGGAGTGTGGGCACTGTGGAGGGGCCTAGCTCCGCCGGCCGCATGGCGCCCCAAGACGGCCGAACCGCTTCCCGCCAAAGCGAGCACTCTCGCAGAGGCGCGAGCCTCGGACCAGCCCGGGGCGGCCGTGAGGCGGCGGGCAGGCAAACGGCAAGCCGTGCAGATCGAGCCGTTTCCCGCCAAAGCGAGGGCACTCGCCGAGGAGGGAACACGGCCGAGGATCGCCAGCCAGCCCAGGCAAGCGCTAACCGCCAACCGGCTTCCCACCAACGCGATAGTTCTCGCAGAGCGGGTAGCCCCGGCGGCCAGAGTGTTGTGTCGTGCGCTCCTTCAAGCCCAGCCCAGATGCGCGTGCCACCCCCAAGGACCGAGATCTTGTACGGACCTGGGGATCAGTACGACATGGCTCCCCCCGCGGCCGTTCCACGCCGGCACGGCGAGGGCCGCGGAGCAGAGGGAATGCCAAACCGTACCGTGGGGCACGGAGCAGAGGGAATGCCAAACCGTACCGTAGGGCACGGAGCAGAGGGAAGGCCAAGCCATGCAGAGGGCAGATCGTCTGCCTCGAGGGCAAGTGCGGGATCCCGCCCCCGCCCAGAAAGCATCTGCTTCGAGGGCTTCCACTCTGACGAGGCGGCCGCGGCCGAACGCCGGGCTCGAGTCGAGGAGAGGAACTTGTACCGATTGATAGACGGTGACAAAACGAATGTCCCGCCTCAGCTAGGCAGGGCGCGCTCAGTTGCCCCCGAAAGGGACCAGCCCAGGGAGACTGCGCGCCCGCGCCTTCCCGGCGCCAGCGGTGAAGGCCGGAGAAATGCTCATGAAATCGACGTCGTGTCAGTGCGGTCGGGGTCGCACCGGTCTCGCCGAGCTGGCGAGGACCTCCCTCGCGCAGCCGTGCGGCGTGCCGCGTCTGCGGCCCCTGCTCCTGCCCAGGAGAGGTCAAGGGACCAGAACCGCAGGCGGCGTCGATCCCCCTCTGCCAGCTCAGTTGGGAGCGAGAGTAGAGCGCACCCAAGGCGCCGCCGACGCCTATCAGAGGGCAGACGCGGGGCGGCAAGGGGACGCAACTCTCCGTCACCCTCATCATCCCCTTCCTCGA